CTCCGGTTTTCGAGAAATTCCGTCGATTTAAAAAAAAAATCGAAAAAATTCTCCAGTTTTCTAAAAACTTTGAATTAATGTTCCAGTTTTGTAAACAAAATCGAGAAAATTATTGAGTTTTTGGGAACGTTCTAGAAAATTCTACGATTTTCTAAAAAAATTCAAGAAAATTCAAGGTAATTCTCCGATTTTCTACTAAATTGCATGAGGTTCGCCGATTTTCTCATAAGTTCGGAAGAATTCTACGGTTATCTAGGAAATTCGATGAAATTCATCGATTTTCTAATAAATTCGGGGGAATCCTCCAGTTTTCTAGAGAATTCGACAAACTTCTCCGTTTTTCGAGAAAATTCTCCAGTTTATTAAAGAATTTGCGAAAATTCTGCGTTTTTATAAAAAATTGGAGAAAATTATCCAGTTTTCTGAAAACTTTGAAAAAATTCTCCGGTTTGCGTTTGAAAAAAGAATTTTTGATTTTCAATTATCTCTCAATCTACTTTCAACGTTTTTGAGAACTGAGAATTTGATTGTTTTGTTTTTGAAAATAGCATTGTTGATTCTCAATGATTCTGAATTAGAGATGCAAAATGACAGTCATTTTTGAGATCGCGTCATGTGACCAAAAAAGGACGGTCATGTGACGCACGAATTTCGTAACCACAAATGATCGCCACAAATAATTTGTAAGCAAATTGTTGTCAAACCATCTATATGGATACATAATGACGGTCAAACTCATTTCTAATTTGTGATTGTCATAAATAACATAGCTTCATCTCTAGATAGATGGAAAATGACCGTAATTTTGATTTAAAAATGCACATTAGGCTAACGCAAAATGAATTCAAAGAAAAATTGATAGTAAAACAATGAGCTCGCATCTGTATAGATAAAAAATGACTGTCATTTTTTCTTGACCAATTGTGACGGTCATAAAAGGGTGGGGAAATTGCGACAGTTGTGGAAAACGTCTCGTCATATGACCGTCAATGACAGGTCATGTAATGCATTCGCAGCTCTGTCTGCATCTTATTTAAAAAAAAAAAAGAATTCTCAACTCTGTGGAAAAGTTGAGTGTAAATTGAAAGGCAATTGATGATCAAAAATTCAATTTCCAAAATGCAAATCTGAAAATAAATTGAGAGATAATTGAGAATCAAAAATCCCATTGTCAAAAAAAAAAAAATCCAGTTCTCAACTCTCAGAAAAACTGGAGATTAGATTGCGAGATTATTCAGAATCAATAATCCAATTTTCAACTCTAAAAAAAAGTTGAGAGTAGATTGAGAGATTATTGAGAATCAAAAATTCAACTCTCAACTTGCGAATTGAGAGTTTTTGTGAATTGAGAGTTAGATTTTTTGTTTTTGAAAATCGGATTTTTGATTAGAGAATCGGCGAATTTTCTCAAAAATTTTCTATATTGTAGCTTTTCCCGAAATTTAGCGCAAACACGGTGAGTTTCACTTGTTTTGTTGTTTTTGTCAATTATCATTATAATTATAATTATTATTATTATTATTAGTGTTATTATTATTATTGTTATGGTTGTAGGAAAGTGCAATACAGTGTGTTGTTCCATTTCCACGAGTGGGAGTGAGATGCAGGAATGCTTGGTACCCGTGGGCCCTCATTGGGTTACACCCCTGAGCTATCGGCTCGACAATTCTCATTTCCATACGTCGAGTTTCGGGGGGTTCAGTGGCGCCATCTGGCACATTTTCCTACAACTGAGCGAGACAGTATGGCGACAGCTGATCGCCTCAATTCCGATTCCACTGATTGTGAGAGTTAGCGGCGTCTAATCCCTTCGGGACAACTCCCGAAAAATAGTCAAAAGTAGTTCTTTTAACGAGAATTAGTTCGCGAGAGTGTCTAGTGTGTGTGAAAATTGGAATAAGTGTTTATAATTTTGGATATTTACCGTCGCCATATTGACAGGGTGTCACGCGAGTGTGGTGTGACTAGGGGAGATGGTGGTGTTTATTTTGCGTTATTTTCTAGTCAATATTAAAAATATAAAAACCTATTTCCCCCTTCAAGGCACCATTTCCGTTAAGAGGCAATAAATTATCTGTTTTTTCAAAAAAAAAATCAGATTTTTTTATGTAACCATATGGTCGTAAATAGTGGAAACGAAAAATGGTTTTTTCTTTACAATTTTCTGGGGAATTTTCTAGGGACATGTCGGGCAAAAATCCATCCAACCGGGCCTNATCATAAGTTCGGAAGAATTCTACGGTTATCTAGGAAATTCGATGAAATCCATCGATTTTCTAATAAATTCGGGGGAATCCTCCAGTTTTCTAGAGAATTNGATCCTTACAAGTTACATGGAACAATCTCAGACTCTCAATTGTAAGAAGGATAATGGTGTTAATTATTCAGATTTATTGAATTGTCCACAATCATTTCGGGCCCTTAAAAGTTGAAAGTTTGGCGATCCCTTTGTGACCCTCCTGACGTTTGATTCTCGTGAAATTTGATTATCCCCTTGTGACCCTTGCGATGTTTAACTCTCGTGAAATTTGACCATTTCCTTGTGACCCTCGTGACCTTTGACTCTCATGAGGTTTGACCTTCCTGAAATTTGACCATTCATTCCTTTGTAACTCTTGTGTTGTTTGACTCTCGTGAACTTTGATCGTTCTCTTGTAACCCTTGTGACTTTTGACCCCTGCGAAATTTGATCGTCCCGTTGTAACCCTCGTGGCCCTTATGAAATTTGATCATCGCCTTGCGACCCTCGCGTCGTTTGACTCTCGTGAAATTTGACTATCCCCTTGTGACTCTTTTGTCCCTTCTAATGTTTGACCCCGATGACTCATCTGATTCTTGTGACCTACTTGGTCTTTCTGGTTGGCTTTTAAACTTGACTCTTGTACTTAGCTCTTGTAACTCTTGAGGTTCGATCGTCATCAGATACTCTGGATCATGCAGTCGTCCAAATACCTAAAATACAGTTTAATACATTTTACACATTTTTGACGTGTTGTACAGGTATTTTACGTGTATTCAGAATCTCCAATAAGTCAAAAACTGTATATTACATTTTATACATTTTCGACATATAATACGGGTATTTTACGTATAATGTAAAAAACCTTAGAACTGTCTGGAACGCGCAACCCTGTTAATATCTCTTCCAACTCTAATTTCTCTCTATAAAAATATACCCACACAACGCGAAGAATTCAAGCCCTAAAAAACATATGGACATATATAATACACACAAACATTCATCTCATTGTTACAACCCCACTACTAGCCGAAGCGTGCGATGTCACCCGATTAAAATTTGACTGTTACCACCGCAGTCACAAGTCCTCCATTATGAAAAATATTTTCTCTAATTATTGTTTTTGAGACCGGAAAAGTACGCCATAATACTTCTAATTTGATGAGAAAAATAATTTGTAACATGAATGATTTATTTAGTCAATTTTATTTTTTTTTCAACTGAGTTGTCCACTTGATAGACTAAACATGCTTAACTTTTATCCTTAAATAGTAATTTTTTCAACACGAAATTAACAAATCTAAAATGATTATGTATTTTCAAGAGTTTGAAAAACGATTATCATGTGTAATCTAAATATATCATGTTTTTAATGTCAAAGGCCTTAACATAGCACAATAAACTGAGAATTTATCAGTTAAAATTTTTTTGATCCCTGAAGGACTTGATAACTTTCAATAATTGAACACCACTTACGAAAGGCACATAGTAAATATTGAAATTACAATATATCGTGACCAAAAACGATATTAGGCATATTAAAAAATATAAAAGAACTTTATGAATTGAAGACGTCGATGAAGTATTTTACCTTGAGTATTACAAAAATATCTTTCAATCACACTTTTAATATCAAGTATGAATCAACATGTAACTTTTAGTCAATTGTTGTTAGTTGTCAATGATTAATTATGAACGATTAGTTAGAAACTATTATTACTCAATTAATAAATAACGTTTGATGAATTGTTATAATGAAAAGGCCATGAAAAATTCAAAATAAACATAAGAGAAAAAATGGTGCTATATGGAGGATAGTAACTGGGAACTGTGATGCTGGCATTTCATTGAACTCCTCATATTTCCCTTTTTCTTTTGTGCCAATCAACGTAATTATTGATAGTAATCAATTATAAACTATTAATGATGAGTTATCATTTATTAATCATCAATAATCAATTATCACAATCAATTATCAATGTTTAACTCGAAGTATTCGAAAGTATTTCCGTAACCACCTCAATATCATGTACACGTTAATCAACAATAAGAAATTACGAATGATCAACTGTTATAGCCACCGAAGTACAAAATATTTGAAGTAAACATGAGAATAAACAATGTTTGTATTCAGACTTTAGTAATTCATTTAATTAAACTCATTTTTTTCCCTCATATACGAATCAACATACAACTTTTGGTCAATTGTTATGATCAATAATGAATTATGAGCGATCAATCATAAAGTATCAATAACTAATCATTGATAATCAAATGCCATAATTAATCAATACTGTTTGATCAATTATTATTAATCACTTGTAATATCACAAGAGCTTCAAAATTATCGGGTATTTTCCGATAGGTTCGTTGCAAACAAACGAAGGAGTCAAGTTTTCCAGGTTAAAAAATCACGAGTGCGAAGCACGAGTGATTTGTTCTGAAAAACTTGACGACTTCGTTTGTATGCAGGGAATTTTGAGGAAAATACCTGATTAATTTTGAAGCTCGTGTGGTATTCGGGGGATTATTTTTTCAATCCAAATGTCGGGCAATATAATTGGACCATGTGACGAAACTCACAACTGAGAAACGAAAATTGTATAATTAACACGACACAATTGAATTCAATCTGTCAGTTTGACGAGGGGTTAATTCGACTGCATGATGTTTTGTTTTTTATATAGCAACTACCAGAGAAAATTATCAAAAAATTATCAGTTGAAAACCCTGTAGCTTGTACCACATGATGTCGAATGGGCCAATTATATTGCCCGATATTTGGGTTGGAAAAATAATCAATAATAATTTATTATCAACGATCAATCATGAACCAATAATTGATTATCAATAATTAACTGTCGTAATTAATCAATAATGTTTGATGAATTATTATCAATCATCAATAACTAATAGTGAACGATCAAAAACGTTTGATCAATTCGCGATCGCGACGTAGATATGGGCGCCACCAAGTGGTCTCTAAACTAACTACTCTTGGGCGGCAACCAAGGAGATCCCTCGGACGGAACCAATGATGGAGCTCAACCAATGAGATCATTGGATTCTCTTTGATCTCATTGGATTCCCGCCAAGAGTAGTTAGTGGAGAGACCACTTGATGGCTCCCACATCTACGTTGCGGTCGCGAATTGTCAGAAGGACAACGAGAGCTAAAAAAAATGCTGCCATCGAGAAGGGAATCTACTCATCATCCTGGTGCTTGCGTTTGATCCCATTCTTCTTGCCTTCCTTGATATTTCCCTCGAAGAAAAAAGCCTCCTTCCAGGTGTACTCATGATTCAAAGATCCCCTCCCCCGATGATGATTGAGAATCTCACGAAGTTTACTGGACCGAGAGTCATCATCCTGAGACGTGTCATTCCTCCTCCATTCGTGTGCCTCGTAAACCCTTTGGGCCGAGAGTAATCCAGCGAGAAAATGAAACTCAATCTTGTAGTCCAGTAATACCTTTGACGAATGGACACAACCGTTGTACGACAACTTGTCGAAGGTGGGACTCGTTTCTGTCGGTTTGTCCTTGATGTTGACAAGGTTTCCCTTGATGCGAATGTCTTTCTTGAAGACGAGGCGATCGTTCGAGGGCTCCCATTTGTGTTCAGTCGAGAAGAGGACTTCGTCGAGGGCCCTCAACATCGGGGTGGCGAGGAAACTCCACTCGGGGCATCTCGTGAAGACGTCCCCTAAGAGTGTGATGCTGGCTGCGGCCATCGTTTTGTCGGAATCACACTCAGAGGTTGGAATGTCGATCTTCAAGTCGATGCTGATGTCGTAGGGGAAGGTTGTCTCGGCGGGATTTGGACCCCCGGATGTGGAGGTCGATGAGCCCTGGGCGACTGCACCTCGAGCCACGTTACTTGCCATTTTTTAAATGGATTTTCACGGTTTTGGAAACGATACCGAGGATTGCACAATTTTTGGGTGGTTTCGGGGATGAATATGCGGTTGCATGAGGGGCATGTGGAATTGATGGAAATGGGAAGGATGGCCATCTGGTGGAAATATAGGAGAAGTTAATTAGATCGTGGACTACAAAAAAATAGAGATGCAAAACCCAGTCTGCTACGTTGTCGACTGGCAATAAGAGTTGATAGGTGGGTGCCGTTGACCTCAGTCAATTGACCACGATTTTCGTATTTTCTCAGTTGACATACCAGAGATTCCTTATAATCTCTGGACATACATACATATAGACACCATTTAAGTTGAAATGGAACCCCTGTGTCTATTTGAATTTTTAGAATTGTGTTTTCTCCTGCAATTATTATTTTATATTTATGAAACTACTTCATTGACTCAACAATGCAATGATCGAGTCAATAAAGTAGTTTCATAGATAAAAATTAATAATTGAAGGAGAAAACACAATTCTAAAAGTTCATACAGACAAAGGGGTTCCGTTTCCTTAAAAATCGCATATTCGGCGTTTTTAGGCCATATTTAATTACCCTAACACAAACAAGTGGGAAATTGTTCCTGTATTGCATATAGTATAGTTATTTTTGCTAATAACTTAGCAATATGCTTCCGAATGGTCTTTTTGCTTATTTGTTTCCATTCTATATTATTCATAGCCTATTTTATTTTCTTGAATTGAATTAGGGTAAACAGGTCAATTTCTGGACGGGGGTTAGTTTCTGGACGCTTTCAACTTGCATTGAATAGTCCACAAATAAAATGAAATTTGTATTGATTATTTCACCTCTCCATAATATCACTTGTGTATAATCATGTGATCAATTATTTTCTTCTGTTGATAAACATTTAATAAAAAAAAATATGAGCCAGTCGTCCAGAAATTGGGGGTTGCGGCTACATTCAACTATTTCTCAATTTAATTATTCTTTGTTTTGTCATTTTCACTCTAAACTTTTTTTTTCTGCTAATTAAAACATTCTTGAAGGTATGGAAGCCATCATATTCCCATTTAGATGATTCTTTTATTTTAGATCCTTTATTTTAGAAACTCGAATTTCCTTTAATCGTCCAGCAATTGGCCTGGTCACCCTAATTTCTTTCCAACTCATTGTTTTAGATTTTCCACTTAATGAAATTTGATCATTATTATTATTTTTATTATCCCTTTCTTAAATGCAACAGATTGTTCTTCTTTTATTCGTTTACATTACTCCTCTCATCCCTTTGTTCCTTTATAGGCTGATATTATCATCCTTTTATCTACATATCACATTTCAAGGAACCATCAGAGGGCTAACTTTCAGGGTAATTCATGAAAAATTCGAAATTTAGAAGTTAACCGAGACAGTTATTGTAACCACCTTTTAAATTCGTCATAGTCGCATTGAAATAAACATATTAGACTATGATTGAATTCATTTGAAGCGCACTATCCAGAGATATCTGCGGAATTCTGATTTTTGAAAAATACGAAATTTTGGAAAAATTTCACAGAAATCAAAATAACGATTATTGCTATCGCTTTCATCTTCGAACTCGATCTAAAGGACATCCCAATAAATTTTTTTAACCGTCATTCAATGAATTTCGAACATTTTCTTTTAGTTATCGTGTTGCACCTAAATTAAAAAAAAAATCGAAAATTAAAAAAATGAATCAATGAATTTAATTTTCATTAATGGCGATGGATAGGGCTTAGCAATACTATCATTTAAGAAAAAAAATGATTCAATTCCATCGATTCATTAGCGAGAAATTGCATTTTCGGACTTTTTGGATCATAATGGGTCGATATAACACAAAAAATCCAAAACTTAAATTCGAACGATTACAATGCTTCTATTCGGAAGTAAAAAACAATCAATATGTTTGCAGGCCATTTTCAAGGCTTGAAGATAAATCTAGTTTATTTGATAACCAATATTGTCTGTCAAAAATTGCTTGTTACACAATTAGAGACAATAAATTAACATCGACAGGTTTGGCATAACATCTTCCTGTATTGATTTTAATGGAAAGATATAAAACGCCCATTAAGCTAATGAAAAAAAAACTACGGTAATGAAGTCATAAAACATTGAACGGTCAAATGCTTCAGGTCTCGTTGAATATTCAATCATCTTGATAAAATGAGCTCTTGGGAAAAATCTAAAATACCATTCCCTGAGAAATTCCGGAGTATTTCCGCAAAAAAACACCAAAATAATTTTCTATTATAAAGTATACAATAAATGAATACATTATTTAATGCTTGTTTCGATTGAACATCGTCAGTATCCACTGACAATTTGAAGATATTTCACGTGTCGCCACTCGGTAGACAAATATTTGCAGCCTTTCATGAAAAAATCGATGAAACTCATCAGGAGAATTGCGCCTTACCACGCGATATTTTCCCACCTTCACAAAAACCGTCAGTCGACGTTCATCAATGAATGAAAAACATGCAAATTAATGTGATCATATTTAAAGTGTTGCGCGTAATCTCTCTCCTCCTGGGATTAGCGCCTTGTAAACTCTTTACCGAAGCCATCCCCTCGAAGAAATTTCGCTACGCCTTCAAGTTATCTTATTCAAGACTGGGATGCGTTTACAATATTTCGTGGATCATCATATTCTCCGGAGTAATAATTGCTATAGTTCCAAAAGTGGCTAAAGACTACGACATCAACTATTCAAAAATCATAATAACTATAGACCTGACAATGTCAGCAATGGGAAACGCATTTGTTATTATTTTAACCGGAATTTATTGCATCTATCAAAAGCAAATTGTAGAGATTGGAAATCGGCTGAGCGAAGTTGACGAGCAGTTTCAGGCTGATTTATTTGTTTTTAATAAAGAAACCTTCAGAAACCTTCATTATTCCGTGGTGACGATGACATTTATAATCATGTGGATAATAAGTTTTGTTATTTGTCTAGTCGGATGGAGATTTTTTATCTTTTTCTCCATCATATTGCCTGCGGCCGTTCTCAGCTGCCTTCTGCTGCAGTACAGTCTGATTATTAATATTCTCAAAGAGAGATTCAGATGTCTCAATGAAGGTCTTTCTGCAGCCGTTAAATACACGATTGAGTCACCAGGAGTTTCATCTCTCGAGAGAAATATCACGAATAATCGATCAGTTATTGACAACTTTGCGCTGATTCGGAACATGCGTCACTCGGTTTACAAAATCGCCTGTGATGTTGCCGATTTTTATTCATTTCCAGTTTTGTTGGTGATTTTTAATTTCTGTTGTAACTCTATCACTTCTATTTATTTCATCATAATTAATGCGCTGCATAGAAAAAATTCTGGGTGTCCAGACTCAATGAGTGATTGCTTCTGGATTATGATGTATAGTTATCCGATTGTAGTACTGAGTGAGAGCGTCAAGAGATTTAATAAAGAGGTGAGGATAATTTTTGGGATTTCATAACATTTTTTAATTCGATCATTTATGCCAAACTATGTCTGGATTGAAGAACAAACTTTGCAAATTGTTTCTTTTTTTAATTTAAAAAATGATTGCAACAGAATTTATTTTAAATGTCCAGATGACTTATAATGACGTCACAACTTTGGTCCGTCAATGGTAGGGTGCGTTTCGCAATCGACGTAGTAGCAGTAGCAGTATTGCAACCCTATCTAATCTTGCTTTACTGCAGCTACGGTAGTTGATTCCGAAACTCACCCGTAAAATCTCAACGATTTCGCGTCTTGCGAAATTAACGCGGCTCGAGCGGGGATTATTTGAGACATTTCCACGCTTTTATGACTGAACAAAAAAATATGATCCTTAGCTAAAAATTAGTGATGTCGCAAAATGCGAGAGAAACGAGACGAGACAAACGAGACGAGAGACATGATGAAACGAGACAAGACGAGAAAAGCCAGTCGAGAACGAGAGAAGAAATTGCTCTCGTATTTCGACATGACACGAGATGAGAAGATGCAGTTTCTCGTTTCGTCTCGTCTCGCGGCATCACTGCTAAAAATGTACCTTACTTTATTGGGCTGCGGCTCAATTAGAACACGGGTGTTTTCTCAGTTGGAAAATGGGATAAATCATAATACAAACCTGTGTCTTTCCAACTGAGGTGCTCTTGCACTTTAATATAATAATATTATTAATAGTATTATAACTGCTAGTTCAGAGAATTCTATCCCCGCAGCTGAGCACTTTTTTAAAATGGCTTACTGTATTTGGATTATAATTCGTATCATTATACAACAGAATAAAGATCTCTCATCTATTTCAGCCGCAGCTGGATCGAGTGAGGCATATGTTTAGCTAAGAAAAATATTTTGGTTCACTCACAATAGCGTGGGGATATCTTATAAAAATTACCACTTTTATCAATATAAATAGCTACGCTCGAGCCGCACTAAATCAAGTGAAATGACATTATGTGAATTTAGTACCAATGAAACCATTTTTCTGAACAATGTCATGAATACAAAAATTATCATCCCCGATAATCAATCTCATTTTATTTTCGTCACTGGAGCGGAGGTAGCGCATCCCAGAAAACAATATTTGCCAGTGCCATCTAAAATTTAACAGGACACCGGCAATTTGTCAATAAATTGTCGACATACTGTTTGCTGGGATCCGAGAGGACCTCGTAGTCAAACAACTACGAAGTGTCCGGAGATGTGATGCCATTATCTCCTTCCGAGGCATATTTTTTTGATAATTTTTATAAAATCAATGAAATTATATAATTGAGAAAATTTTTACGTATTGAACTTTTTGTATCCCAAATTAGTATATTTCGATATAAGTGCGACGGGTTTTTCAAGAGTGTGAAGTTGGAGGCCCCAGACGAAGCCGAGTGCTACCAATCACACGTGCAGAAAAATCCCTGTTGAATATGTGTTGAACTATATTGTATGTCACTCGGCCTGAAAAACCGCGGCTTTCGGGCCGACCGATATAAAATTTGGTTCGCCCCTCGGCCAAAATAGTATATTTCGATACTAGTAAGATGGAATTGTTACGAGTGTGAAGTTGCCAATTACACGAGCTGAAAATTCCCGTTTTACATGTGTCAAACAATATTGTTAGACAGCGATGTTACATTCAGCGAGTGGCCGAACTGTACCTTTTTCGTTTACAAATAAACGAAACGGCACTTTTCGGAACGAGGTGAATGTAGCAGCAGTGTCAAAATAGTATATTCCCTACCTAGGGGCAAAAATAAAGGAGTAATGTGCACGTGGGTAAGGGTCCTTAATTTTACCTCCCGTGGTCAGGACGTTATTTTCCATTCCGGCGTAGGCGCAAAGTTAGATAATGATAGGAAATGTGTACTTTGCGCCCGCCGTAGTGGAAATGGTATATTTCGCGTCGAGTGTTACTGGGGTTTTAGACGAGTCGAAAACTCGCTTTCAGCTCGGCGTGCCAATTACACTCGTCGAAAACTCCTGCGACTCCCGAACGACATTTTTCCGCAGTGACTATCACTTTTGCCAGTTCGGGGAAGGGTCAATACCAATCCCCGGACTGGGAAAAGTGAAGGTCAGCACGACACGAAAATTAATATACACACCTCGCCATGGAAAACATATCACCCTCCCCCATGTGCTCGCCTTCGGCTCGGAAGGCAATCTTGCGCGTGGGGGACGGTGATCTGTTTTCCAAGGCTCGGGCATGTAATGTACTATTTCGTGTCGAGGGACCTGCAAAACGCCAATTTGAAAATGGGGTTTTTCAGGTCCCGTGACACGAAAATATTATTTCAGGCCTTGTGACGAAAATTACTATTTCATAATTACTTCATAAATAAGCAATGTTTAAAACATGCTTATTGATTGTTGTTTTGTTGTTGATGATTGTTTTATTTTCAGGTGAGTAAGACAACGAACGTCATCTATGACATCAGACAAACGAATTTTGTGAATAAAGAAATTGTTTCTGAGGTATATTTTAAATTATGTTGAAGATGAATATTTGTGAACATTTTTTTGTTACAGTTGAACGATTTCGCTCTTGAACTGTTGCATACGAAAGTTGCATTCACTGCATTTGGATTTTTCTCGTTGGATTGTACTTTATTGCATTCGGTAAAAAGAATTTGTTAATCATATGAATTGATTCTATTTGCCTCAAATCAATGTGATATTTCTGTTGGTGAAGATATTTGGAATGGTTGTTACGTATCTGATTATTCTCCTGCAATTCCAACCGGCGGATGCTGCAACTGAATAGAATAGAAGTTTTGACGTATTGTGTTTTAAAAGATACGTACGACATACGATGAAATTAGGTGAGTGTTGTGAAAATGAAGGAATATTATCTACCATGCCTGAGTAAGAATGAATCAATAAAGCTAGAATATCCATTTCTGTCGTAGGCAAAGAAAATTTCAGATTAACCCCTCACGTACGGGGTCCCTAGAACGCATCGTGTCCCAACGGCCGGGAGGCTTACGACGACGTGCCAATTCCATTGTTTAATCAGCAATAACTCGAAAACAGGTGATCGACAAAACTTGAAATAAAATGCATTGGATGAATTGAAATTTGAAATAAACGCCCTGAGAATTCTGTTTTTTCCGCATTCAAGTCACACCGATTTATCCTCCAGGACGATTTTTCAATGAATTGAATTATTCATTATTCAATGAATTGAAATTTAACTTGTGCCATTCGATAGAAAGGTCATCAAAGTATTTTCAGCAAAAATTCCAAAATTAAAAATGAAATTAAAAGTAAAATTAAAAGTAAAATTTTCTCGACAAACGAGATGATTGAATACGATTAAATCGGAGCAAAATAGTATTTTCATCCACGACTTTTGTTGATATAAACAAAATATATAAAAAATGCATTAAGAAAAAAAAATCAATGAACTCACTGCACAAACAATTTTATTGACTTTCCAAATTTTTTTTCCAAATGTCAATATGTGTCTTAGAATTCGAGAAAATAATTTTTTACTGTTGACGGAAAGGGTCCATCGATGTATGGACACCGGCCGATAGGACAAGTTCGTGCCTCCATACATCGTATGGAGCCCGTACGTGAGGGGTTAAAAAACAAAGTTTTCGAGTAATTACTGATTGAAACAAAAAATTGATTTTGCGATAACGGTTGCATAAACGGAATAAATTGAGTTCAATTGTGTTTATTATGAAGTTCTTTTAATTACTTTCAAATGTGTGAAAACGAAAATTCGATTTCTATAATAATTAAATTCAATTATTTTACCTTTTTCTTAAACAATCAAAATTATCATTGGATGTGTTCGTGAATTATGTGCAATATAATTCGGTGAATACATGAAATGTATCAATCAAGATGCGTAAAATGAGCCTGCAGAATTACCTACTTGTTTAAGTTCATGATTCGTAAATAAATCCAGGTGTTTTCATAAGATGTATAATGTATTGCATGTGTTAGACATCAAGTGTCACTTATCGTGTGTTCTTGGTTATTCTGCCAAGAAGACATTGTGGCGGTGTTGAAGTATGTCGCTCATATACGCGCGTGAACATGTTTTTTTCTGTAAGCAAAAAATATATGTATACCTAACTTTTTATAGTTTTGTTCTTGTAAAATTTTTTTCAAAAAATGTGATGAATAACTATTACAAATTATTTTTGTTTAATGAAGGTGTGACGTTATGAGTTAGATGACCCACCGCATTAATCCTGGGTGATCTAACATGTGACTAGTCCCTGGAATTAGTCACAAATAGAAATAAGGTTTTCTTTCCTAGGGCCGTCGTACCCTATGTTGACCGGCTAGTTTCGGCGGTGAGCTCACGGGGAGTTCGCTCACTCGGAGGGATGTTCGAACAAGGATAGAGGAAGGATTAACGATACTAAATCCACCGTACTAGATGTAGGTAANAACCATAACATTGTTGTAAAGAAAGATTGAAATCGGAATTTTTGACTCAAAATATGAAACNATGCACGGTAGTGGGGTCGGTATAACGCGGTTCTATAATATTGATTTGACTCGACTGAGACTCTGACTCGTTGTTGTCTTGTATGGCTGGAAGCCTGAGCTTTAACAGATCCTTTCTGTTTCGCTGTTGATCGTGCTCTGCTCTCTGGTGAATCCAGAGAGCTCCTCCAAACTCGTCAAATTCTCCGTTTGCTGAGCTAAGCAGTCTCACGGTTTTTCTCCACTAAAACTGTTTTGTGTCATCACTGACACCGACTAATACAGTCAAACAGTTCGGTTCACTTGAACTGGACTTGCGAAAACCGTGTGACTGCTGACCATGGTGTCCAAAAGACACCATGGTATAGCTGACTAATGTCTGGATGGTAGGATGGAGAAATCCTGTTTCTCTCTCCTCTCATCCAGTGGTAATATGATCCTTTCATATTATTAATTACTAAATCGACGCATTGGTCGATCCCAATACGTCACAAAGGTTTAAAATATGTTGACCGAATTTTTCAAATAATATAATATTAATAATCTGATTTTTTCGAATAATAATGAATTAAAATTTGTCAATATGGAACTGTAAATTTACTACTAAGTGCATAATTCAAATTTTTTAAAAGGGGATTTTCTATTACGCAAATAATTGCCAATGTTCCTACCTCAATTATTGATTGATAAAATAGTTAAAAATTTGAATATTTGAATTGATGATACTTAAGTATTCAAAAAATTTAAGAGTGATGTTAACTAATTGATGGCTACAATATTTAACGGTAATTAAATATTATGAATTTGGCTATCTCTGTACTGGACTATTTTCAATATTTAACTGTTAGCGCGGTAAACGGACAGTAAGATTGTTTTTCGCACTAATTCTTCGTTTCTATATATATTATATTTAATCGATCTTCAATGTATGGCAAATATCAATTTAACCCTAGTTTGGTCACCACATGAAAACCTGCGACTTTGGTCATCTCCGCAGGGAATCGCCGCCATGTTATTTAGGCCCGAGCTTTGCCGAATTCACTCTATACTGCCCGGGCGCGTTTAACGAGACTTCGGCAACGACGCACAACGGGCAATTTCATTTAACATGGGAAAAAATTGCCGGTTTGTTAGAAATATTTTTTTTTCTTCAGGAATTGTGGATATAAATAATTTTAAAAAATATTATAATTTTCTAGACACTTGAATTGACGCATTTCTATTTTTTAGGATTTTTCCGCTCAGCCAGTCAATGGTATAAGAAAAAAAAATCGACCTTCTGCGGCGTTTCCCTCCTATGGTGACCAAACTAGGGTTAATAGTCTGCGACTATGAGAACTCATCACTGATCTCTATATAACTGGATAGCCGATCCCTATGGCAGGCAGTGAATTTATTAGAGAGGTACGCAGCGCCTCCGGATAGTAGTCAGCGAACTAAGATTGTCTCTAGTGCGCATGTCCGTGTCAGCTGCAGGTAGTGGGGCAGTGGTAAATTTACCGAGAGCATTGGGAAATATTATAGGGTATTTTACCGTGTAGGACATTCAGAATAACAGACGAACTTTTGTTAATAATCAGTGAAAACTGACATTGTCTATAAACGCGAAAGGAAGCCGAAGCATGGAGGAATGTCGAAATTAGTACAATTGTTATTAATATTGTATTATTAATGAATTGTATAATCGTTAATAATAGAAAAAATTGAATTTTTAAAAACTACAAAGAATCGCCAAAGAATGTTATTAGATTTTTTTAATCGTAATTTTTTGCTAGATTTAATTGACGTTTTAGTTTTTTCAAAAAATCAATTTTGAAAAATCAGGATTTAACCCACTGTTATGTCAAAGTAACCATAACATTGTTGTAAAGAAAGATTGAAATCGGAATTTTTGACTCAAAATATGAAACAAAAATCAAGAAATTTTTGACACATGATACAACATGAATGACGGTTTTTTAAACAATATCCATTATTTATTTATAAAACGGAGATGTTTGAAAAGGAAATAATATATTGAAAAATGTAATTTGAATGATGCTGATTGTGTATGAATTTTTTATAAAATTTTTTAATTAAAATTTTAAAATTAAATTAAATTTAAAATTAAAATTAAAATTTTTTATAATTTTTTGTATAAAAACAGTTAATTAATTATAACGTAAATATAAACGTGGGTACTTATGTATAAATGTAATTATTATTTTTGAATACGACACGAAATTGAGTAGTTATTGTTATATACTTACCGATGAAAAGATAAATCTTTGTTCTTCTCCTTCNTCTGTACTGGACTATTTTCAATATTTAACTGTTAGCGCGGTAAACGGACAGTAAGATTGTTTTTCGCACTAATTCTTCGTTTCTATATATATTATATTTAATCGATCTTCAATGTATGGCAAATATCAATTTAACCCTAGTTTGGTCACCACATGAAAACCTGCGACTTTGGTCATCTCCGCAGGGAATCGCCGCCATGTTATTTAGGCCCGAGCTTTGCCGAATTCACTCTATACTGCCCGGGCGCGTTTAANCTTATCAACAAAAAAGAATTTCCTTGGAGACCGCTCAACAAACAACCGACGTGTCCAGCGGACTTGGGGATTATGACTGAGTCATAATGACGCATGGGACGGAGAATGTTTCCACGGCAATTTTCCGAGCACCTGGCCCCCACGGCGGCGCGCATGCGCACTGACGTCATCTTTAGTACCTGAGCTACTATACGGCAGCGCTGGCTGACACTTCAATNTCTATTTTTTAGGATTTTTCCGCTCAGCCAGTCAATGGTATAAGAAAAAAAAATCGACCTTCTGCGGCGTTTCCCTCCTATGGTGACCAANGAACTCATAGTAGTGCTATAGACAGTCTTTCGTATAGACCTCTCTCCCTGTCTAATCGTGTGACGTAATATTTGAATGGCCCCTAACAACAAGAAAGAGTCCAGAGCCATCGCTAACAACCTAGTTATTGATGTGTCGATAAACCCCAACAACAACAAAAACAATTTAAACAATATTTATCTCAATCCATTGAGATAAATATTGTGAGGACTTTTAGAGTCAATAAAATGCGAATTTTAGTCGTTCAAAATAGGGAAATGAATCACATGTATGTTTTATTTCATCGAATAGTTTGAAAAATTACAGCTGATGGAAAAGGAAGATGAAGCACATAAAAGTTGACTTATTGTCTATATATCTTATAACAGTTTCATAATTATTTTCATCATGGGAGAATCGTAGAAAATTTCGAATTCATAGTTTCACAACGTTTAATGATTAATTTATCGCATAAGATGAAGTAGATTCGAATGGGAATCCAATAATCATCGAATACTAACAGGAAACAAAAGTTCATTGTTACATCCATCCAAATATGTAGCAACAATGATACAGAAAAACTAGAAGAAAAAAAATTGATGCCTCACTAAAGAATGATAGTTTCACGTATATCTTCTATCGAGCTTTGGAGATTGATTTTTATTTCCTCTCGATCTTTCTTCATTACTATTATTCTGAACTACGATATTTTAACCCAGCGTTTCAAACTTCTGAATAACATCAGGGTCATCAGTAAATTTACGAATCTTATGGATTAACTTCTTGAGATGAGAGTTGATACTACCAACTGTGCGATTTGGAAGTAACTGAAATTGTAATATTCATACATTTTATAATTCATTGCATATTCGAAGATATGATGAAATAATGAAAATTGCATTTGCCATGGACTTACCCCTGCAGATTGCATTCTCTGGGAGATACTCATTTTACGTGCCTGAAGAATGCAGTCTTCCCCAATGAGATAGTTGATTATCTTTTTCTCCTCTTCAACTGTGTATCGGCGATGTTTACCAGTACTGAAATGTAACTCACATGAATAACCTGACATCCAAGAAGTTTACATTTTTAGATGAGGGCCTAATAAAAGCCAGGGGTGAGTCTGACATTTTTAGGTCCATAATCTTAAATTCTTGAATACACGTTTACCCTAGTCAACGTATCCATATGCTTCCAGCACTGAATTGTCGTCACTCATAGGATGACCCATCTAGGGTTAATCACTCGAATATATACTTCACTGCCGATATCGAATTTTCTTAACAAAATGACCCATTACTAGGGCTGGGAATGATTGGATGAAAATTAAATAGAAATATAGTATCAAATAGTTCGGCACAATAAAATACTATTTGAAATCGATATGTCAAGTTGATTATTTCGGTCGATTGAACATTATTCATTATTTGTCTTTCTAAAATTGAATAAAATACATATTTGATATTTCATTTTCACCGAATAAATAATTCATGTTGCAAATTATTTTTCTTATCAAATTAGAAGTTACATGGCGTACTTTTCCGTTCTCAAAAACAATAATTAAAGAAAAAGTTCATAAATACTGGAGGATTTGTGACTACGGTGGTAACAGTCGAATTTTGATCGGGCAACATTGCACGCTTCGACTAGTGGTGGAGTCGTAACAGTGAGATGGATGTTTGTGTGGGTTATACGTATCCATATGCTTCCAGCACTGAATTGTCGTCACCGACTTTACTGACCTCAATCAGCTGTTGTGTGGTGTTGTCGCGTTGCTCGACTCGTCATGGCGGTCAAATTTTTTTTAGAGGAATTCGAAAATCAATTGAAGATACCGCGCTTATATGGCCCGGTCCCCGACTTTTTCTCGCCGGCGATAGATTTTCCATAGTCTAAAGTAAATAGCTTGTGGTTTTTTTTCAATATCTTGAGTGTCTAACCCATGGAGCATTTCAATCAAAGTTCACACGGTCACGTTTCCTCCATAAGCGTAATGTTACAAGGAGTGATTTTCAGAAATTAATTTCTCATTAGGATGCCCCGATGGAAGGATTAAGATTATTACTAACGTGTGGCTCGAATATGAACCTGACATGTGAAGCAATATCAAAATTATGGTGAATAATGCGGGTTTTGGCTAAACATCCTTAACGAGACTCCCGCTCGACAGTGAAATTGTGAGATTAGAGTGTTACAAATTTTGGCTGCTCAGCCGGGTATCGAACCCGGGTCGCTCACGTGCGAATCCCATACTCTAACCACACAGCCACGGCCGTCGGTTCCTAAATAGTATATCTTTGATTCGAACTAATGAAATATGATTTAATTTGCGATGGTCAATAACTCCAAAACAGTAATTAGTCATGAACATTTCATATATTTTACCCAGCTTTACACGCAATGGAGTCTCTTCATTTGTTGATACATGTGGTGGTTTGCATTAAAACTTTGTTAGCAGAAATGGTAATCCCCACAGTGAATTGCACGATATACACATTGAGTCCGACTACATTGCAATGTTTCATCCCAATTGCGCATTGTCCACTCTGAATTTCCATTGTCTGATTCAAACGTGTACATGTTGAATTCAAGAAAAACCATAACAAACACTAAATCCATAAAACTCTTGTTTGATGTATTTAGTGCTTTTTTTTAAATTGCACATACTTGAAGTTAAGAATGTTCAATAGAAAGTGTTTTATAAACAAAATTAGTAGATCTGATCTTTCTATACTTCTTCTATTAAGACATTTTCTATTGAGCATTTGTATGCTCGTTCAGATGTTATGAGCTATCACAGGTTAATCATTCTGACAGTCCTAAGAATCTATCAAGAGTGAAATACGATTTATTAATTTATTATTTTAGTTAATAAGGAAAGTTGCAGACATCAATGAACAGTGATTTGTTGATGAATGAGAGAGAAAGATCCCATTCACATCAACTGGTGCTACGACAGAGTGAATTCTTAAGCCACAAGTTATGAAACTCACAATTTTTAAATGTTGATGTTGATGATCCGTTATAACAGTAAAATGGGATTAAAAATCTCTCGATTGAGGTTTCGATAAAAATGCATAAATTACAGTAATATCTAAATATTTCCCTGACATATCGGTAATTGAAAGAATAGGTACAATGGAAATGGCATTGACCCTCTGCTCGTTTTGCAATCAACTGTTAAGTCGTAACGGATTAAACGGATATTAAAATCATTTAAAAGGTTGGACTGTTCAATTGGAATATCATTTTTTACTTCGAAACATGGTTCAATGTTGTTTTATGATAATACAGGATACTCACGGTGTAATTACTTCGGATATAGCCTTTCCATATCATTCGAATCACGAGACGAGGGTAGAACATGTGTGAAACGTGCATGGAGACAAGTGAGCGAGCCTAGGGACATGGGACTTTCCACGTTTATAAACGACTGTTTTAATAAAAAATAGAATCGTTTTCCACCCCGAAGGAAAGAAAACGGATATTTTAGGTCTTGCCGAGGCTTGACCCTTCGGAGATAGCCATACGTCACCTTTGCATGTGTGTGTGCCCAAAACCCGCCGTGAGAGCCTTCCAGGGCGGAGTGGAGCGCCACTCCGAGCGTTACGGTCGAAATTTCAAGTGATGGGAAGTTGAGGGACACGAAATAACAAGTGATCAGTACAATCTCCGAATGACGGCAAGCCCTTACTCGGGTCAAGCCTCGGCAAGACCTAAAATATCCGTTTTCTTCCCTTCGGGGTGGAAAACGATTCTATTTTTATGTCTGTGCCTTCGGCTTGACCCTTCGGAGAGATGTTTGGATTCTGCCGTCACTTGAAAAAGCACTGTGACATTAAAATAGAACGAAGAACATTTATTTCGTTAGAAAACAACATACTTATAGCGCAAGCAATATGAAGGGGAATCCTGTTCCTGAGATCATAATAAAAGATTATAATATTTATCAAAGACCAGTTTCAAACCGGTGTAAAGCTTTTAACTAGAGAACTTTTTGGTCTCGTCATCCTTGGTTTGTCCACTTCCTTACAGTAGTGCCTAAAGAAATTCACTGAACCCCTCCAGTTGCCTCTCGCCAGCAATTCATCCATGGCCATTTGGTTCTCAAAATTTCTTGAAGCTACTGCTGATCTGATCGAACCTGGGCTCGAGTCGATACCGACCTCTGTAAAGATTGACTGGATCTAACCTGCGATTACGGTTCTTGAAGCAGCTTGCACCTGACTCCTTGTGGTGATGAAGAGTTGAGATAACCCTTGCCGCGCTCTGCGTCTCAGACGAAAGGAAGATCAGCAATTTGATCCAAGATACCAAGTCAAATGTTGGATCGTCTGCGCTGGATATTCTCCAGACCGATTGACGAGAACCTAATTTATCTGTTTTTGAGCCGAATATAGGCCATAGGATGATTTCGTTCTCGTGAATTATATAATATTCCGGATCGATAGAGAGCAAAGGCAGGTCGTGTAACCTCCTACCTGAGGCTAGGAGCAACTGTAAAGCTGTGAATCGTGACACCTGATAGATACTTGTCTTATCAAGTGGATGTTCCAACATCCAGTTGGTTACCTGATCTACATTCCAGACGACGGTCCTGGGAGGTTTAACGCCCTTCGCTTTCTTCTCGCTAATTGCTTTCAAGACCGACTTGACCAGGGGATTTGAGCTCAAATCATTATCTCCTCCAGGGTTATTTAGGGAACAGATTACCGACTTCTGGGTTCTGATCGTACTAAAAGCCAACTGCTTTTCGTAGAACAGGTAATTCAAGTAAGAGACTAGTTGCTGAGGACTAGGATTATCGGAAGATATCTTATGAGAGCGACACCGAGACAACCATTGCTTCTAAGCTGAAGAATACGTTTTCCAAGAAGAAGGTCTCCACGCTGAACCAACCAGATCTACTTCTGATTTCGATAGCCCTTCCACCGAGTGACCCCACCTCGTACCTTCCAAACCTCTAAACAGAGATCGTTCACCTTCTGTGGAGGACATCCTGTTGATAAGTCTATCAGGTGTTCCTCGAGGTCTCGTAGCTGAACCGGGGCGTCCTGACTCCTGGCTTTCAGGTCCCCCCTCCAAAACGTCTTTTCCCAACGGGGAACCACTAGGAGAAAAGTTCCTACAGCTGAATTGAGATGGTGTAGGACTTTCGGGATCAGAGGGGGAGGTGGAAATACCCAGGCCAATTCCACTGTCCATCTCTCGCTGAACGCATTGATAAACGCAGCTTCTGTGTCGTTTGCTTCTATTGACACATATCGTGGAACTACCCTGGATCGAGATGTCGCGAATAGGTCTATCTCCGGAGTTCCCCATTTTGCGAAGATATCCACGAGAGCGCTGGGACTCAAATGCCAATCTGGCAGCAGAAGATTCCTGGACAATCTGTCTGCTAAAGTGTTGACTATCCCCGGTAGGAAAAACGGTGTCAAACGTATTTTGTACCGTTCCAGCAACAACAGGATCTCCTTCACCAGACTGAGAAGGATCTGTGAGCGAGTGCCTCCCTGATTTCGGATATACGCCACTGCTGTTTTGTTGTCGGCTTGCAACAACACCGATTTGTTCATCAATTGGTTTTTGTACAGGTGAATTGCGAGCCATACCGTGTATAACTCCTTCCTGTTGATGTGCGAATCCTCCTGGTCCTGAGTCCAAGTTCCCGCTCGGTGGATGTCTTCCAATTGGAAGCCCCAGCCCGACTGAGAGGCATCCGTTGTCAAGAAGACGTTCGGCTCGTCCTGGAAAATCTGACTTGTCCGGTGAATGTTGTCCTTCCACCAAAGACAGTCCTGGAGACACGACTCGGGGAGGGAGTATGTCTTCGCTGGAAACTTTTTGGACAAACGACGAGTCCCCCGTTGAAGGTGGCGAGAGAACAGGCGGCCCAGAGGGGTCACCAACGCTGCAAAGTTCAACATCCCCAACAGCGAGCGCGCCAGATCTAGATTCCACTCCCTCGAGTCTTCCAGCTTCTTCAGCAGGCTGAGAATTCGAGTCTTCTTGATGTCTGGCAGGCCCATAAAGTTTTGAT